TTATTATTATTATTATTATTATTATTATTATTATTATTATTATTATTATTATTATTATTATTATTATTATTATTATGAATATTTTCCGAGTTGATCACGTGATTAAGGTTAATATATCGTGTTTCTCTGGATCGTTCTCTCTTGTTTTAATTTCGTTGAACTTGTGTTAATACGGAATACAAATCGATCGGTAGATGATGTTTCATTGGTTCAAAAGCCTTGAAAAGTGAAATAGTAACACAGTATTCAGTAAATTGAGAACGCCTATCAAATGTATCATCGCGCTGTCTCCCGATCCACTCTTACGATTATACGGAATTATCTTGGACGTGATTTTACTTTGCGGACTCATCGTCGGACATTCTCGAGAACGTCTGGTACACTTAAAGAATCAACAATATCTGCCAAGAAGACAAATGAAGAGTGGCGCAAGACATTGTCACCCCAACGATATCACATACTCCGCGAGAAGGGGACGGAAGTCAGAGGTACTGGACTGTACAATGAACATAACGAGACCGGTTAGTAATGATAAGTATGTGCATGATGGAAGAGCTATGACGATGTCATCATTTGGGTTAAAATGTATTCGAATTATGTCAAAGCGGCGCAGCTCATTAATTAATTACGTCTTACCATCGCATAGGAGTGTATCTGTGTGCTGCTTGCCATAGCAGGCTATATGAATCGTCTCATAAATTCAGTTCGGGATGTGGATGGCCCGCATTTTATGACTCTGTTCCAGGTTGGTTTGTCGAACAGTTTCTGAGAAACGTACCCCGCAAAGGTTGACGTTCATGCCATGATCGGTTTGCAGGAGCTGTGAATCGTAACTTGGATACATCATTTGGGAGGATTAGGACTGAGATTACTTGCTCTAATTGTGACAGCCATCTTGGTCATGTTTTCCAGGTGACTAGGTGAACGACTTAACGTCATCTTTTCTTCATGACCATTAATCATGTTTCTTTTTTATAATAGGGGGAAGGATACAATTATACTCCGGCAGATGAACGCCATTGTGTAAACAGTCTGAGTCTCAAATTCGAACGACCAGATGGCAGCGTCGATGATAGCGAGGATAAATAAACAAAGCGGTAAAAGTGTCTATGTAATGAAAGTTTCTAGCTAGTGTATTTTATTTATCTATAATAAACATATGTTAACCCAATTACAATATAACTTCCGTAATCGACCTTCACAAATCAATACTCGGTTTATTTTTAAATTTTTTCGTTGTTCTGAGAGCTGCTCTGCATCTGAATTGATTTCCATAAATGCTAAATACAGTATCGCGTATGTTCACTGTAAATACACTATGACCCTTGGGAATATTTTTAAGCTCGTCAGAAGACGTTATTATCTTGAACATGTTCTCTGTCTCCTGAATCATTATGCCAGAAACGCCAATGTATGATGCGCACTTTGATTTAGAGACTATAAACAAGAAGTATTGGTTAAAATGAGACCTCTCGAGTAGCGAGCGAGCCAACACTCTTATTCGATTTTCACCTGTCATAATAGCTCCATGCAAATCAGCTTTCAGTAGCTTTTGCGCAAACCCAAACGAATTCGATGTTCCATATAACTCGTTTATATATTGCGTCCATAGCTCGTGCAATGGCACAAACAGCTCGTACCTACACAAATCATCCAAATATAAGAGACGTTCATTCTCTGCGAAGACATTAATCACAAACTATACCTCCAACATTTCTTTGGAATATCATAAAGTCCTAATGCTCTCTTCTCTTTCGCAGTGACTCCCTTTTTTCGCTTCTTCTTCTTTAACTCTTTCTTTTTTTTGGTCTGATCCGAACTTTTCAATGGATTATCTAGCAATATGACTTTGTTTTTTATTCGTTTTGAATATGCTTTCAAGGCATCCTTGGTTGGATTAGGTCCGAATATGAAATCCGGAAGAACCGGTTGACTTGATTGCTGATTACATAGAATTACCAAATCAATACAAGTAAAAACAACAAATGACGATGACATGACAAGAAAAAAGTGGGAATACCTGCCTCACTACTCGTCTGAGAAGGTTTTACGTAGTCCGGTAAGGGTGCATATAGCTTACTTTCGCGTCTCTCTTGATATTAATAAACATCGTGTATAAGACCAGTTGATCGTCTATACAATTCATTCATCCAAAAACTTACCATCCATAAGTTAACCAATAATACATAGTTTTCTGCAGAATTATTTATGTATGCATGTGACTATCCACGATCACGTTTCTTTAAAAAAGGCAAGTTTGAGGCTTTTTTCAATCTCACTTAAAATCCAATGTCTCAAGAACAAACGTACGTATTAAAATTCATGATAAACAAGAGGGTTGATTGAACGATTGATATAGGTTATCGTTAGGCTAAATCGAAGGGGAGGGGGGGAGGGAAGTAATTAATGGTCAATTCTGTCTGCAAGTATACATATACTATATTGTAATATAAATAATTTATTGTAAATTGTTTATACAAGAATCAAGCCCGAATTGCTCGTCTTTGCCTAATACTCTTTCCTCATCCACTGTGTAGCAACCCGTACAAAGTCGTCGTAGCAGCCGAGAACTCTCCAATATCTCATAATGCAGTTAATTTTGCATTTGATCTCTGCTCACGTCTTTCGTGTCCATTTACATTGACCGTGGTTTACATCATCGCCCTCAATCCAAGCACGAATATTCCATTTCTGTAAGTGATTTTCTGAATAGATCCGCGCCAAGGCGGGGGGAGGAAGAAACAAACAATGTAGACTGTTTTCAGTAGACAAATTACCGAAACCTTGCGATGAACTAATACTCTCGCATTCAATAGATCAAATCTTGAAAAAGCCAATAATCTTGATATCCAGCTTGAAGCAAAAGAGACAGTTGCAGTATTGCAAAAATATTTGGAAAAGTTTAAAACGTTGACTGTGAGTGGACAAGAAAAAAGAGAGAGAGAAAGAGAAAATCGCTAATAACTAGTTACAAACACTTTTGAGATAATTTCCTATTTTCAATCATGCTCTTTTTATAGCCAAGGGTGAACTATACATTTGTTCAGTCTGAAGGATATGGCACTGTAGGCGAAAACCTGACGCATTACATAACAGTTGAACACCCGGATACTAACTTGCTAGTTATTGGAAGTCGAGATTTGGAGGGACTGCAAAAGGTGAATGATGTTGCGCGCGCGATACTTGTTATTTATACTCGCAAAATTGTACGCATTATGTTCGAGATAACTAACACAGACACAAATGCTACCCGTCGAACGTAGATGATACTGAGCTCGACAAGCGAATATGTATCAAGACACATAAAGGTCCCTGTCGTTATAGTCAAACCACATGATAAATTAGACGACTGTACAAGCCGGTGAAGGAAAACCGTTTACAAGAAGTATTGGATTACCCGTCTTATCAACCATAAGTTTATTCGTACAGAACAATATCATTACAAAGACCCCGAAATAAGCCCATTATAATTACTATTACATAACTTATTCAACTCTACCATCACACAACCCTAACCAAAACCCAAATCGAAAATGCCGTGAATGTAAAAATTTGATATTTCGGTGTTTACCTTTTTAATCACGTAAATCTGGCTCACTTAAAACTTCTTCTCTCGCGTGATACTCCTGACCATTGCCTTGATTCTCCTGACCATTGCCTTGATACGCCTGACCATTGCCTTGATACGCCTGACCATTGCCCCAATCGATTAGTGCTCCCGGGCTAGTTGCTAGCATTGCTTCCCCCGGCTGTGCCGCCGGCTGATTTCCGTTGTTGCTAGCATACCCAGGGTCTGTCCTTGATCTTGGAGGTGCCGGTCTACTCTTGAACCTATTTCTCCTGGGTACGTTAGATCCGTCGTCGCACGTTACCACAATATGTTGGTCAGCAGATGCTCTTCGTCTCTTTGATGCCAGAATAACTTGGTCACCACTAGCCAATGGAATTGCCAGCCCAGCGCGTACGTCTGTTTCATCGTATATTTCCTCCTGAATTAATTCTTCCAACACATCTTCGAGTGTGATAATGCCAATGGGTTCACCATTATCAGTGGATGTGACGATCGCCATGTGACTCCGTCCTTCTTGGAACGTATTTAGCATGTCAAACGACGGAACGTCAGCTCTCACACGTGGAACTGGATATATCGAAAATCTATTAAGAGGCCTGCCTTCATCAGGATTGTAAAGCAGAAAAGACTAGAAAAATAAAAGATGCATCATGGAGCGTAAGATGACTACTTACAACATTTGTTGGTCATGCCACGCGAGTGTTATAATGTACTGTTGGATGCGTTACCTTTACCAACAAGACTCCGATGATGTTTTCCCTCCATCCTTTATATACGGGAATCCTTGAATGACCTCTAATTGCAATCTCTTCCATAGTTTTCCTGTCAATGACGGCATCATGTGGCATCATGAACGCTTCTGATATCGGTGTCATTGCAGCTTCGACCGTCTTCTCCTGCAAGTCAAGTGCCCCTTGTATTATTGTCACAGTATCCGACACAAGATCGCCTCCACGTTCAGTTGATGTCTCATGATATTGAATTAACTCTTTGAGTTCTATTTTTTGTTTGTGATGAAATCGTCAATTACAATTATCAACAAGCACTAAAGTTCGCTGATCTGATTTTCAATATACATGCCTGCGCGCTTATATATTAAACCGTGACTTTTACCCAGCAGATAGTCCAATAAGCAGGCTATTGGATATGCAACAGGAAACTATTTAAAAGAAGTTTCCGTTAGCAAAAATGCAAAGAGAAGAACCATACAATTCAACAAAAAACTTACACATATCCAAATAAAGATTTTAACAGGCCTGTTACGAATAAATCACTTATGGTTAATAGATGACGTTACATCCATGATGGCAAAAGCCGAGCACTCGATGACCACACATACCAAGCAAAAAATGCACCAACAGCTAGCCCAAATCTAGAACATATGCTCTGCGGTATGATTTCTCCAAATATGACAATAAGAGCACTCGATATCAGAATGGCAATTAAACCTCCACCGATTAAATCATCCATTATAATAGGCAATGTTTCATTGACGACGACATTAGCCAAGAGAAGTGTAACGAGCAGCAGATGTCCATTTTTGCGAATTGGCTGAATGCGTGCAGCGTACTTTCTGTTAAACAACGCAACGAAATGATGTGGTCATTCGATAAACTTGTTTAAAAGCGTCAGTTTTCGATGCCAAACTCGGATTACCTCTGTTTAGCATCACCAGAAGTGGCCAATATATGAAGATTTGTTTCATCCAAGCTCATCTACCAAATAGAAAAAAAAGATTGAACAATATATATCAAATTTGCGAAATTAATTGGGTTATGAGACTGTGCATGCTGTTTTTACGTACTAAGCCAAGCGTTAAGCCTATACGAATGACGAAATAATAGATTCAATTAATTTTCATCCCATCTGATAGTCTAAGCGCCTGATAAACGTTTCTCACCAGCAAACAATCCACCTACAAGGACCAATACAACAGTCAATGTAAGTTTGAACCAGAATTCTTCTGGTGACATATCTTCCTTTAAATATCCATGTATACTCGTCTGACGATAAAGTAAAGCCATTTGAAGTATTCAAAAGTAGGAACCCGAATTAGTGGAAACTTCATTGGTTGAAATTTTATGCCAAATATTTTGACGTGTAATTCGCATGGCAACTCTTGTATCACAAACCTTGGACGTATGATGATCTGGCAGCGCAGTCATTTTAACTCCAGAACCATGTTATTTACTGTCTCTTTCCTTCACAGGTATCTATCTCTGCAGAATAGGATTTATTGTTCTCGTATGTGGGCGTTTTATGAGATCAACGCTTATTATCTGCTAACATAAGCACGTATCTCTTTGAAAATATCCAACACAGGCTAGATCATTAATAAAGCTAAGGGATATTAAATCCTTTATTAAAAATTAGGCCAATTAACGACCAACTTTCTTTATTAGGCGCACCCGTGGCTACTGATCCGTTGATTACGTACGACAGAGTCAAAAGCTGCCTTTTTGCCGTTCTCGTTTTGTTTGATGATAAGATCTCTCGGATTAATTTGAGGAGGAAAAGGAACGACTATGTGAGGCAAAATAGGAGGGAGCTTCTGATGACAAGCGGGCGACGTCATTATTTGAGCCTCGTATAATTACCCAGTGGTGCTGAAGGTTGTGATCATCACAGTTTAAACAACTGGTCAGTGGTATAAAATTAACAAATATGATCTTCCCCATCCATATACTGCAGTTAGTTGGTTCTTAATAGAGATGAATAAAGTTGTTTCAATTCAGCACATATCAATGCTAGTGTTTCCGTATCCTTTTGCTTTTAGCAGCCCTATATCACAAATATAGTTATAATACTAAAATGGTAAGTGGTATTACAGTTACCCGTACCTTAAAATGCTACACGACGAAAATGGTTTCTTTTTAGAGTAGTATGAAGCCGATAATATACTGCCAACATGCCGGCAAAAAAAATAATAAAATTCAGATTACGTGATAGATAAAGAGTTTGAGCAAGACCGGTCATTTTTCAATGTTAAAACCTCAAATTGTCAAGGGAAAAGCTACTCTCGACCGGATCGGTCTCGTCCTCACTTTTTCACAAACAAAATCGGACTTTTCGTGATGAATAATAGTAGTTATATTTCGAAAAGACACATCGTGTATCGTCAACCAAGATTCAGAATTGATCGATAATCATATGTCTATATGAAACATTGTATGATACAAAGCACAAGGGCAAGTACAATCGACCATGGCGTAAACGTCATTGGTTATCTTATTACACGATATAGGGAAAGAGTTGATGGAAAGTGTCACATTTATTTATCTTATCTAGTGTCACCCATATGCAAAAACCTGTTTATTCATAAGATGTGAATGTTACTTTACAAGAATTAACATGTAATATAAATACTGCCCCATCTCCATCAACTCTATACTTAAAAACCTTTTCGATATGAGTGAACAATCGAACTGTGACAACTTTACAAATGGTTATTTATCGGATCAGATGAATAATCGAGATTATTATCAAGTCAACAATTTTCAAATGACAAGTCCAGACTCCACCAATTTTTTGTATCCGCCCACGCAGCAAACTTTCGGTTGCCAAGGTCAAGATCACTATGGTCCTTATGTCGATTCTTTCGATAATGAAAACATCCATATGAATAGATCATCGGATACCAATATTAATACTCCGAATATCGGAAACACTAGTAATCATTTTTATCGAGTCAACAATAATTCTCATTTCGGTAACGCTAGCGTGCATTCAAGCGCGATAACGCCGAACCCATCAACGTCAACAACAACTATAATAACGGTGCATCAGTTAATTATACTTTGCCCGGAAGGCCTGTGCAAATGCCGTTTTTCTCTACTTTCTCCAACAATACTGGCACGATGACAAACACCGCATACGTAGTGTTTATCATGAAAGTAGATATGGACAAACTATTATCTATTTTTCAATAACAAGACGTCAACTACTCTTTTTACTGATCTTATTTTTTCACTAGATTCTATTGTCATTGTTTAAAATAAGTATTGTGCTAGATTTTAATACTAGCCTCTATATATTATACCTCTATGAATTTGGATAATATGATGGTTTCTCACTGAATCAGGTTCAAATTAATGTCAAATTAAGTACTGTACTAAATTTTATTACAAGTGAAACTCGATATAAGAAGCTCTTGATATAAGAAACACTAATTAAAATTTGATATAAGAAAGTTGAGCTGAAAAACAGTCTATATAAAATTATCTCTATATAAGAAAGTTACTAATAAACTCTCGGTATAAGAAGGATTCTAAAATTTTTTACTATGGGTCCCGATTACTTTCTTATATCGAGAGCCACTTGTACTAGCTTTATATATTATATACCTTTATGAATTTGTCTAATAAGAATGTTTTCTTGCTTGGGTCAGAGTTTCTAACTGATTTTCTAATTTTTGCCAGGAAGGCTGAGACGATCCCTTGGTTTCTGCAGGCAATTGTTTTTTAGCACATATTTGTATCAACATTAATGCAAAACGTCCAATTTCGAAGAGGATCGTATCCTGCGAGGATTCACTCGATTTCTTTTAACACCATGTCGACGTTATTGTGTGCTGCGGCTTATATTGATCGCTTTATTAACGACACCGGATTGAAATAAAAGTAGATTCTCTTTTAATGCCTCTGAAATCTAAATATTCTTTATTAGCAAAATTCTAACCCAAGTTCCAAAAAGTCTGCCCCCGTAAATTATCCGATGTCATTTTAATCTTTCGCATGTCTTACCGGCGACGGTACATTTGAACCCGTGAGCGTTTTTAAATATATATGTATTACTCGTCCGACGATATTTCCGTATAATCTGATCTGGCAGCGCAGTCATTTTAACTCATGCCAGACCTTGTTATTTACCGTCTTGTTTCTTCAAAGGTATCTATTTCTGTAGAATAGGATAACCGTTCTCGCATGTGGGCGTTTTATGAGATCAACAAGACAGCAGTAAAACCAGTTGACTCTGTCGTACGTAATAAACGGATCAACGACAATATGTGCGCCTAATAAAGAAAGTTGATCGTTAATTTTAAGAAAAAATTTAATGTGTTTAGCTTTATTAATGATCTAAGTCTTTGTTGGATATTTTCAAAAGATACTTTGCTTATGGTATCAATAATAAGCGATCCCAGTTTAAACAACAAACCAATATGATCTTCTCCATCCATCTACGCAGTTAATTGGTTCTTAATAGAGATGTATAAAGTTGTTTCAATTCAGCACATATCAAGTGAAACTGTATGCTGATACGTGTAGACTGGTGTGTGTTGTTTGATTTCACCAAGAATACATACGGGACATGCTTCTTCAACGCTGCAGAAAATAATCGAATAGTTCCTTCAGCCTGTAGACTGTTGTTTCTTAACTCGTTTTATTTTCTTCTACAGCAATCTTATAAGCATAGTCGAGTCCTTATGCGTTTCAATGCATATGCATAAAATCTTCGGGTTATCTCAAACCATAATAGAGTAGTTATAATACTAAAATGGTAATAGTAATAGGTATTACACTGGAAACAAGAGTAGTATAAAGCCGATACAATAGTGCAACATGCCAGCAAAAAACTAAAATAAAATAATTTCAAATCTCGTAATAGATAAAAAGTTTGATTGTACTAGACAAGACTGTCATTTTTCAATGGTAAAGACCATAAAACCTCAAATCGTCAAGGAAAAGGCTACTCTCAACTGGATCGGTCATCCCACGTCTTCACAAACAAACTGTTTGCTTGGATTTTTTTATGATAAAAAATAATAGCCATATTGCGAAAAAGACACATCGCCCCAATTAATGTCAACCAAAAATGCAAAACTGGATGTGTCTATATGAAACATTGTGAGGACTCTTATTAAGCAAAATGCATTTGACAGCTAGCCCAAATTAGGCATACGCTCCGTGGTACCCAAATTAGACAGTAAGAACACTCGATATCAGAATGGCGACATTGGCCAAGAGAATTGTAACGAACCAAATGTCCATTTGCGATTGATTAAATGTGGTAGCGGCGCACTTTTTGAAAACTAGAATAATCTTGTTCGATATTATTTAATTTATCTGATTTGGTTACGACAAATTCAAGGGGCAGGACTCATATCCTCAAGACTGGAGCTCAACGCCGCGAGGGGTAATTGCTATTTCTTTTTACGGTAATTTTTGTAAATGGGAAGGCGACATTGTGACTGTCAATTATGAGTCCTGCTGAATAATTGTTATTTTTTGGTTAAGTTTTCTTTGTCCCAGTTTCCCGATGTTAAGGTAAGAACTGCCCTTTCTGGACAACACCTCCGGTTGTAATAAAAAATATAATATTATATATAAAAAAATTTTTTATTCATTAACGCACATTTTCACGATAAAATAAAATCAATTTCTCATGGTTATGCTTCCTTTAATTACCAAATAATTGGTTTTCAATCAAGTTATGTTTGTTATTATGGCTAACATGCAACTAAACCTTCATTAATTAATGTTTCTCTCGTGGTTCGTCCTGGTTTTGAGGGTGGACAAACACCAGTTTATCGTCGGTTTCCCAAACGCGGTGGGAAATTCAAGCCTAAAAAATTTTTTTTACCCTTTTTTCTTTATTTAGTTCGGTGTATTCTTTAAAAGACATAAGGATTTTAATGGCTTGGGCTTGGTAATATTTGGACTGGACTTGTTTAGTGTAGAAGAGTTAAAGATAAAACATGACTCTCGAGAAGGAGAAAATAAGTCAGTCCAAGAATACTTAGATCAAAACTATCCTAAAAATAATAAAAAAAAAGAGGTGAAAAAAAAAATAGATATTGCTGTCTGTTAAACAACGAAATGTTTGGGGTCCTAGCGTCAGTTTTCGATTTCACACTCGGACGTTTTCTAAGATTACCAGAAGTGGCTATATATACGCAGATTTATCTTATCCAGTTTATAAATTAAACAATTTTAATTTGCGAAATTGATTAGGTGTGTGCATGGCAAACCGTTACGGTACGTATGAAACTAAAAGTCAAGTCTACATAAATTACGAAATAATAAATTTGATTAATTTTTTTATCTCATTTACATCTTTAGTAATTCTCAACTGTCTGGCTTACCAGAAACATCCACTATACACTTCTTTGACATAAGTTATGAGACTATTATAACACAAGTAATCCTACTGCTCTTAACATTTTTTTTTTGTTTATATGCAAAACTTGTTTCTACGTGCCCTTTGAATGTGCAGTCGAATAAAAAAACACGTTATTATACTTGGTAGTAAACGCGCATGTTATTAATACGGCGCAGGATTATTTGCATATGTAGCAGCAAGTCCCATAATAATTTATTCAAAATTTATAAATTGACTTTGATGGTGAAGAAGAACAAGTAAAAATAATTCCAGAATTTAGACTGAAAAGTTTCGAGATATTAATATGGATTTTTGAATTTTTATGATCGAAATTACGATATATCTAACGGTAAGTATTTAATGTTTGAAAATTTGCTAGACATATCTGATCGAATTGAAATCTCGCAGGCGATCAAGGTACACTATATGCAGAGAAATTTTCAAAGCGTCTACTTGTTCTTGTCCCGAATTAGAGGCAAGCTAAAGTTTTCAACAATACAGCAATAATGTAAACAACTGGAAACCATTATTAACGGATATGCAGCAAAGTTGAGTTTTTTAGAATTATTAGCAGATGTTGTATTGTGTAAACTTTCGTGAGAGTTGTTCACTATAGCAAAATTTTGTAAACTTAGAAAAAAGTTTGAATGACAGCTTGCAGATATGGGGGAAATGGATAAACAGTACTGAAATAGTAGTTGTCAGCGCCAGTACAGCATTACAAAGCTTGGGATTTATACAAATAGTTTTATTCAACAAGAAAATGCAAATGAACATATAAAATGGTCGACAAGCATATTAGAGAAAAATATTGACGCGTTGTTGTTGGAGTTATTTGGAAATATGGTTTTGAGGGGTCGGACTAGGTATGGAAATTGTATTGTATTAGCTGTGTTTTAAGAAAACAATTTCAAAAAACGCAGATTTTAACGAGTTTGTATAGTTTGAAATAGTATTATCTATATCTATATATAATTAAAAAAATTGGATGCTGCGGACATTGCATATTCGTATTACAAAAATTGTCCAATAGATAACCATCACATGTTCATTATTTTTTTGTTTACAACCTCGACGTTTTTTTTTGTTTACAACTGCGACGCCCTAACACTTTTATTATTATGATTATGGATAAAGTTAGCGAAATAAAAGTCTGAATGTAATTATAAAATAACCACAACGAAGTGACGGATTATACACTAGTTAATATTAAATAAACAAAGCAAACTTTTCTGTGCGTATTTCACAAGGGGGGTTTTTTCGGACACCCGTCGATTGATCGATATGCATTACTATTTAATTCACAACTAAACTGGGATTGTATTGAATTGATTCATTATTATATTGCTCCTAAAAGCTTGTAAATAATAGTGAATAATATATCGTAATGAAATTATTACATCACAAACTACTCTGAGGTGTTCTAACTAAGCGATAGGCACTACTTACAAATACAGTGTGTTGCGAAAAAAATGGCGCGTAAATTGAAAGATTTGTTTTTTGAATAACAAAAGAAAACGCGTTTGTTTACATGGCTTCTATATTTATATAAGTTTATTTTACTCGTCCTTAATTGCATTTGCAAAAGTAAACCGCCTTTTTCTTTGAATAGTTTCCCGTTTGAACCTTGTAAACGTGGTTAACACAAAACTCGAAGCACAACGTCAAGCAATTTTACATTATTGGCTAAATGGAATTCGTTCTGCCAAAGAAATACACCAAAATACGAAAATTCCCCTTCGAACTATTCAACGTAATCTTAAAAAACTCAAAACAACAAAGACCATCGAACATAAGGGTGGTAACGGTCGTTCGCCCAAGGTTACACAAAAGGTAATGGCTTGGGGTGGAATTTCGATGAATGGCAAAACGTCCTTGTTTTGCTTTACAGAAATAATGGATGGTCCCTTCTATGTAAATATTTTGCAAGCCCAGCTTCTTCCGTTTGCCCAACAGATCTATGGTAGAAGATGGCGTCTGCAACAAGATAATGATCCTAAGCACACTTCACGTGTTGCAAAGGAATTTTTTTCTCAAAACAACATTCATGTAATGGAGTGGCCGTCTAACAGCCTAGATCTGAATCCCATCGAGAATATGTGGCAGATAGTTAAAAACAATGTGGAAAAAAAATGCCTAAAGATATTAGCGAGTTAAAGCAATTTATGGTAGAAGAGTGAAATAAAATTCCTCGGGAGGTGGTACAAAATTTAATCAGATCTATGAAAAATCGTTGCGAACTAGTATTACAAAAAAATGGGGATAGAATTTCGTATTAAAATTTCTATACTTAATAAAGTAGTTTATAAGCTTTAAAATAAGTTTACTTTCATATGTCTCCGTTGGGCAATTGCTGAGATATACAAGTTTATTTGTGCGCCATTTTTTTCGCAACACACTGTATACATTTAAATGGTTTCCATGTAATATATCGTTGTTTCTTTTTACGCACGAATGCGGCTGCGGCGTTTTGTATGCATGCATTTATACTATTTACCATTTACAGTGAACTCCCTCTAAATGCAACGTCTCTCTAAATGCACGGAAGTTTTCAGTCTCATAATGAGACTTAAGAGAATGCACGTTCCATATCCTGCAATTTGCAAGCTTTCTTCTATGTTTTCTCTAAATGCAATATCATGTGATCATTGATCTACAAAAGTCACGTAACAAAGTCTGTGATCACATTAACAACATATTCAGATAGTACACTATGCCAGTTCCTCGCGATAGATAGTACACTATGCCTTACAATATTAGAATCTCAATAAGTATGTTAATGTCAATGCAATAAAAATAAAATTTCATAGAAAAGTGGATTTAATAATTGCCGAATTCACCTATGGGATATTTCGGCAAATAAATTTGGCGAAATACAGTATGTGTACTGAAGTGCCAAATGACTTAACTGTATAGAAACGCTTGCACTATATCTTGTACAGCAAGATATCGATGCGATGATGTCATCAGATTAGAACGATCGTGGTCAAATAAAATTGTAAAACGGCTTGAGGATGCTTCTCAGAAACAAACAACTATTACGAGCTTTCCACAATAAGAGTATATCCGCTAATTTGAATAATTTGAACAAAACATCTTTTCGCTCAGCTTGGATATTCATTCTTATTAAAAATTTGTTGATATTAATGACGGCTATATTAAATTAATGCATTAATATTAAATAGTATATTATGCAATGCGGTTACGTGAAAAAAAGATTGGTGTACAATGGATGGAACATGAAAGAAAATGATTGGTGTGGGAGTTCAATGTACAATGGATGGATAGTGAAGTGATTTATATCATCTATCAGCACTTACAATCTTGAACTTACACAGTTGTTATAATAGTTAATTTATACAAGAAGCAGTGTTTGGTCCTACCCGATAGACACACATATCGATATGCGATGATTGCTACCCATTTGGGAAAAAGATATGATATTGCAGGTGTAACGAGAACGAACACTCTTTCAGACAATTGACGATAACACATATTTATACTAATACGTAACTTTATAATAATAATATAACAAAATAATATAACAATAATAAAATACAGAGCATGACCAAAATTTTTGTTATATTAATACTTGCTTTGGTTCCAACCATCCAACAAGGGATTAAACATAAAAACAAAACTCATCTCTACCACTAAGTAACCCCATGCTAATGAGTGAACAATCGAACTACGAAAACTTTACAAACGATTTTCCATCCGATCCGATGTTTAACCCAGATGTGGATTGTGTAAACAGTCATCCATTGGAAACGGACTCCAACGGCGTTTTTTCCTACATGCACTCCCAGCAAACTTTTGGCTACCAGCGTCAACATTATTATCCTGACGTCGGTTCTTACGACTATAGCAGCATCCGTGCGAATGGATCGTCGGATACCAATATTAATACTCCGAATATCGGAAACGCTAGTAATTATTTTTATCGAGCCAACAATAATCCTCATTGGGGTAATGCTGGCGTGCATCCAAACGCGATAAACACAGAACCCGTCAACGTAAACAGTTACAGCAACAACAACAATAACGGAGCATCGGTTAATTATACTCTGCCCGGAAGGCCTGTGCAAATGCCGTTTTTCCCTACTTTCTCCAACGATACTGGCACGATGCCAAACACTGCATACGTAATATTTGTCGCGCAAGTAGACGTGGACAAAATATTATCAATCTTT